TTATTTGCAATAAGAAGTAAGAAGTACATTATGGGAAATAATATTTATTTTCATTGCACAGTTATTTATACTGCAAAATTTAAACATGTCACACTACTTAATGTTATAATTAGTTGCATTGTTTCCAAAATATCAAATCTGCTTATGAAGAACTGGTGTTCTATATTATCCTGCCTGAAATTTTAATTTCAAACAAAAATAGACCCAGGCAGTATATTTCATGTATTCTCTGCCAACAAAGTGAGCAAAAGAGGAAATTAACCAAATATTTTCTGCATAGAAAAGTTTATCAAGAATAGTGTTTTAACTGAATTTGCATCACTTAAAAAAAAAAAATATATATATATTTTTTTCCACTTACGTATATTGAACAGTCTTTAGTTTCAACTTTAACTTAAGCAGCTATCTTTACTTACACTGAGGTAAACCCTCTGAGTAGTTTTGACACCTGTGTCTTTAGTTTAAAAGATGTGTTTCAGTAAGTCGGCAGAAAAGTGCGGAAAACTCACACAATTGGAAGGCTAACTGCTGATCAGGTCTTTATTTAGCTGATTTAAGCAGTTTCAAACAACTTAGGCAAACATTTTTGGATATTTCCATTTAAATTTGGGTTAGATCATCACTCTTGAACAAAGTTTTTGTAAGTAGGGTAAAAATAGAGTTTCCTGTGGCTGTTGACTGTCACTCCACCTGATCTGCTCATCTTTAGTATTTGAGGACATTTTTTTGCAGGAATGCACCATCTTAAGTTATGTTCCTTAACTGGTTCCCATTTCCAAACATTTGATTCAGTCTCGATGGACATAGAATAACCAATCTATGTGTGCAATGTGTGTAAAGGCTGATTTAAACCGTTTTGATCAGCCTGCAGAATCTCTATGACTTCTGAGACTATTGTTGTGTTCCTCTCTGCATCTGAGTCAGCTTGTTCCCCTCAAACGGAGATGCTAATGAAACCAGTAAGCTCTTAGTCTGTGTCAGAGCTTTAAAGGTTTTGTCCTCCTGCACAGCAAGTCAGCAGCTACCAGCTAATAAGAGCTGGCTGCTGCCTGAGGCTGACTGGTGAGCTGTTCCAAATCATTCCTGTGAACTTAACATCTCTCTCAGGACTCAGTCATGCTGTACGGAGCCTCTTTTCTTTCTCCATGTTAACCTCTATTCTCTTTGAGTTCTCCCTTGCTTCCAGCCCTCCCCGTCTGCTTCTTGCTTCCTGTCAAATTGTGTCCGTCAGGGAGGGTGTTGAGGTTGCCCCTGGAGATGGGCTTCCTTTGAGGTGGTGTGATGTGGGACTGGTGGGTTGGACAGGAGAGGAGCCGCGGAGGGGAAGAGCACTGTAACGGTGGTGGTCCTTGCCGTGAGAAAACGTAGGGGTGCAGAGGAGGTCAGGTTGGATCCACAGCAGCCCAGCACGAGGTCCTGCTCCCATTTTCCAAAATGAAAGACAGTGATGTTAAAAGGAGTATTTGTTTCTTTGGTTATGTGTGTGAAAGACATCCAGTGTCATTGAGTTTATCTGTATTTAGGAGGTTTTCAGTTCTGTATGACTATAAATACTCCAAAGCCCTCAACACTATCTATTTATATTCACTTTATTGTCACTTATTTTGCAAAAATATGACA